CGAGCCAATGAGCGGAACTGGGCTTCGCGCGCTGGTTGGCTGGGCCGCCTCGCGTCAGCCGTACTCGATTCTTATTGGTCACTGTTTTTCGTTCATAACTCGTTAACGGTGCCTCGGAGAACATTTTTGTAAAGGAAGAAGTTGCTTCAAATGATCCGAGGAATACGCCATTTCCGGACTGCGAGACATTTTTGGGACACCCTGTAGACTGTTGTAAATCGATGTGGAGACAAAAGAAGTGTGAAACAATGCATATGAAGACGATTATTTGGTTCAAACGATGATCGAGTGAGCTACTAGAGTAAGCCACTATAGTGATGCGTCGTTCAGAGAGATGACATCCGCGAAAGCCACTATAGTGGCGCGTCGTGCCTAAAAGGTTAATAATAGAAACACCGTAAAGATAAATTGCGGTATAATAGTCATTCGCTGGGGGAGTGATTCTTGTTATAAGATTTGAATAAGAACAAACCACGCTGCTCTTGATGGAGCATAAAAGTTTGCACAAGAAAGAAGTTGACGACGACTTATTAAGTCATTCAAAACTTTAAAAAGGATAGTAATGTCACCCAACAACCATAACCGAATCTCAGAACTGTCTCGCGCCAGCCGAGCTCGGCTCTTATTCGTCAGTGTTTTTCGTTAATAACTTTTGTAAACAAAGTCGTGAATTGCACTTTCGCTAAGGAAAAAAGTTATTTGAAATGATCTCAGGAACCTCCCCATTTCCGAATTGCGAGATATTTTTGGGACACCCTGTATACGCTCCACTAGAAAGCTTGTTCTTTAATATGGCTGACAAGATATTTTCAATACAAGATGTATTCAATGAACGTTAATCTTTGAGAGAATCATTTGCAGATTTATTTCAATCTACAGGGTGTCCCAAAAATGTCTCGCAATCCGAAAGTAGGGGATTCCTGAGATCATTTCAAGCAACTTTTTCCTTAGCGAAAATGCAATCCGCGGCTTTGTTTACGAGTTATTAACGAAAAACAGTGACCAATCAGAGGCGAGATCATTTGGCGCGAGACGGCCGAGCCAATGAGCGGAACCGGGCTCCGTGCACTCGTTGGCTGGGCCGCCGCGCGCCAGCCGAGCTCGCCTCTTATTGGTCAGTGTTTTTCGTTAATAACTCGTAAACGAAGCCTCGGAGAAAATTTTCGCAAAGGAAAAAGTTGCTTCAAATGACCTCAGGAACCTCCCGTTTTCGAATTTCGAGACATTTTCGGGACACCCTGTAGAATGAATCGAATTATTCAATTGTTTTCATCAATTTTTACATAGTACAGTTAAACGCGAACGCAATTTCTCTGAACACAAGATCAAGAAGAGAAATCGTATATTATCAACGAGATTATTGCAGCGAGGATGTTGCGATCGTTAAATATTAAACGTGAAAACGAAATGAACGCGAACGGAAACGGAAACACTGACAAAGCTGAATCGAGGATAATTCCGGGTCGGATCGGTAACTCCAAAAATGTCGCTCCTATCTACAATTGTAACTCAATTGTTAGTGACAGGTTGCGCGTCTCGATGTAGGGCACGATAATTGGCAAATTAAACGGTACATTAATTACCAGTCACCAGATAATACCACGCCGGTTATTTGATAACTTCAATGGCGCAGCGCGCTGGTAGGTGACGATGCTCCCGTGATCGTCACAGTTTCAATTTCACGATCGTTTAAAATACCGTTCAATTAAGCTCCGCGATTTATATTAATCCACGGCATAATAATGCAATAATGTGTTACCCTGTAACGGAGACAAGGCATCGCCAGTTTTCGTGCGGCCTGTCCAGAGCCACGGCCAGAAGAAAGATGTACGCCTTAATAGGCGTTAGTTGATGGACCACTCGCTCAACTCACCGTGTAAGCAATAACCGGTACTTAAGGCCGACTCACTTTTAATGGCGCGGCCTTTCAACCAGATGAAAGAAGATACGAGCGATCCATCCGGTGTATCGCGCTGACATTTCACTGCGCGAGCCGTATCGGGCAGAGTTCAGGCCTGATTTTTCATCCGTCGCGGTTGACTTCCAGCCACGTTGACAGCCGGACTATCGGCGCACGGTTATTTACGCCGTCGAGTAATCCCGATGACTCGCGTCGACAATAATCGAGCCGTTGAAAATCAATTAATTGTTTGTTCTATCGTCGCGAGCACCGAGACATTTTTATGTTTCCGGAAACAAGTCGAATCGCGGCGAGAAATCTGTTTCCTAAGCTTTTTCTTTTAGGTTTCATTCAATAATCAGATCATTTACGGGTCCGCGCGTTGATGAAAAACTATTAGGTCTACCGGAAAGTTCTGTCCGATAGTGTCACTTCAAGTTTCAATCCATATGCACGCTGTATCCGAGGCTACAATTATTTAAGATACTAGTCAATTTCCAAATCCACCAATTATAAATGCTATAACTATGACAAAAATTATAATAAATGCATGAGAGGTAACAACAGGATTATAAATTTATTCATTGTAAATTCATCCTCTTGGAGCTCTCAGTTCTATTCGAATAATCATACTTAGCGAGGCACCTAGAGTACCGCATCATATTGCAAAGATAAAATATAATATACCAATATTTTTATGGTTCGTTGAATAATATATTAGGTCTACCGGAAAGTTCTGTCCGACAGTGTCACTTCGAGTTTCAATCCATATGCACATGTTGATTCGAGACATATATGACTATCTCTCTTTATCATTGCATTTACACGCATGTACTCTCCTAAATAAACTGAAACGAAGATGTCTC